CTGATCGAGTTTGACTTGTGCTAGCTGCCATGTGACTGATCTAATGTGTACGAATCGACCTACCGCACTGCTTCTTCGTCACGCGACAACAACGGCTACCAAATTACGATCCGAGCCCTCCGTATCTACATCCAGTCACTTTCTCGCATCGTGCTCAATCTGCACGTCGCCCACGTACGACTTCATCACTTACAATGAGCAGCACGGTGCGACGCTCACCCTTATGCCTCGCTAGGCAGACTCTACAAACATCTAGTATCGTATACACCCTCACGCTCCAACTCATGCTGTGCACTGTCGTCCATCATCCTCATTCTCACGCGCACCGCGCACACACACATACACACACACGCTACACACATCTATGAGAGGACGTGTGCTCGCTTGCGCGCAATCTCGACAAAGACAGAAATACAGTTCTCGGTCGCCGCTTGGTGTTGGGCGATTCGCGGGAGCCGGGCACCCTGGATCACAGCGAGCAGCGACTCAACAGCCTGAACGCGGCAGGACGACAAGGGGTGGCGGTGAGGCTTGGCAAGGCGAAAGTGGAGAAAGGAGGGAAACGACGAAGCGACATGTTCACACATGTTCACGAACACACACACACACACACACACACACACACACACACACACACACACACACACACACACACTCTCTCTCTCTCTCTCTCTCTCTCTCTCTCTCTTGGCCTTGAGCGCACCTTGTGTGGATGTATGTGGGTTGTGGATCATCCTCCTCAATCTGGGCGGCGCTGGCTTACATAATGCGCATGAGGTCGTGTGCATCCGGCGCAAACATGTCCTTGCAAACAAACACGCCCATCAGGCCGCGCAGCATGCGGTATTGCCTGTCGTTCGCGTGCTGGAGAATGTTCTTCATAAACGGCACAGAATCGTTGTCGTAGTCTTTGAACCGCTCCTGCGCCACGTTGGCCAGCACATGCGTGCGAACCAGAAACACGATGGCCACCTCCTTGCTGCCGCTGCAACCAGTGAGGACTGCAAACACACCATCACCTCATCAACTGCCGCTGTTGTTGTCATGGCGTGCACCACCACCACAACAACCGCCACAATCACGGGCAATCCCTCTTCAAACAACGGTGTGGTGGTCCACGAGCCAACAGCATCCAACGCAGTGAGCTGCTTGAAACCGGCAGCGTGCAGTGACGGCTGTGGCCGCGGTGTGATACCTCGCTGGCAGAAGATGAGGTGGCGGAACACAGCAGCAGTTGTGGTTGAAGCTGAGGTGATTGAGATGGGCAGGGAGAAGCACAGCTAGCAGCAGCGGGCAGCTGGCTGGCAAAAGGGCCTTGAGTGCACTGACACAACGCCGCGCAGGACAGCAAGTAGTGCAGCTGTTGCTGTGTTGGCGTGGTGTGGTTGACGATGGCGTGAATACGCATGCATGCACACACACACACACACACACACACACATGGCAGTGTCGGGGATGGTGATGATGATGTGGCAGGTTGAGGTGGGGCCACGTGCTGGCAGCACTCAATCACAGCAAAGGTGCAATGCTGGTGGCTGTCAGTGGCTGCGGTTGGTTGATGCGGCGTTACGGCGACGATGTGTGTGGGTGGTTGGCAGCAGCAGCAGATCCTGCACTGGGTCGGAATCGGTGTGTGCACGCGTGCAACGGGAGGGTGGGGCGTAAGATGCAGGCGCCCCACTGGGCGGGGGTGATGTGACTTGTGTGAAGACAAAAAAGGAGAGAAGGGAGAACTGACGATGAGAAGCTGTCGTGCACGACGTGCCAGTGCAGCCCTGCATCAGCCCAGTGGGGATGTTGAAAGGTGTTGTGTTGACGAGGGGTTGCCGGTGTGCGTGGTTGTTTCGACATGCGGGAGGGGCAACGAGTGCAAATGAATTCACACACACACAGACACACACACACATAGACACACACACACAGACACACACACACACACACACACACCTCTTGTGTGGCGCTGGGAGCGATGTCTGCTGGTGCGTGTCAACCAGCAGTGCCAGTGGTGTCAGTCATGGTGGTATGGAAGCAGAAGTCTGGTGGTGGGATCCTTCACCTCAGTGCACATTCCAGCCACCACGCTGGAGACCACGAGCTGGCTCACTATCTCCATGCCCGTGCATGGCACCGACCGCCGTCTGACAGCGGTGATGACAATGTCAGCGGCCTGCTCTGAAGCAAGCACACATCGTGACAGGGGTAAAGGAGAGAGAGAGTGTGTGTGTGTGTGGGGTGTGGGATGTGATTGGTGAGGGGAGGTGGTTGACAAGAACAAGGACTTGCAGAGGGGATAAGTGGGGGAAGAAGGCGTGTAAACTGTGGTGTGCATGTCGCGTCACACAGCGCATTGAGGTGCAGTGCGGTGGCATGGAAATCCCAGGCAACACCCGCCCACCCCATCAGCCATCAGCCATGCACATACCAAGACAGAGGGAGAGAGAAGGTAGTGCCTCTTGTTGTCGTGGCACACGGTGATGGCACCCGCTCAAGTACACGGTGC